ACAACTAAAAAAGGAACTTTCATTGGTAGCCATCTTGAAATCCAATATGGTGGCCTTCCAACATAATTTCCTGATGATTGCATGATACTCTCTGATATTAAAAACATGGTTAAAGGTGTGATTGACTGTGTTACGTTACTGTAGATATGAAAATAATGACAAAAATAACAATATTTTGGCAGCCATCTTGAAATCAAATATGGCGACCATCTGACATAATTTCTGATGATTGCATAGTACTCCCTGATATTGAAAACATAGGTAAAGACCTTTGAATGACAGTGCTAGGTGCTGTAGATATGAAGATTATTGATAAAAATCCAATATTTTGGCGGCCATTTTGAATTTCAAGATGGCGGCCACTAAGCGGCTTATTTTTTGGGGTCTATTTTTTTTAATGATCCTTAGGTGTCATAGTATTACTGTGGGAAGTTTCATGCTTTCTTCCAAAAGTGCACGATTTTTCTCCTTAGCCGCTCTACTATAAATTCATCTAGGGGGCTCGGGTTCCAGTTACGCGCTGCTCAGTCAGTAGGCTTATGCAACCATAAATGAAAACTACAAAAACTAACCTAACAACTACTCACGTGAGAACAACTTGAAGATAAAACACAATATAGGCATAGTCCATTCAGCAACTGTCCAATAATATTAATAGTGTTTGATGGTACGCAAACTATAGCGAAGGAACAGCGACGAAATAGCGAAGAAGTCCAAAACAAAGTTATAAAATAAAAGCGAATCCAACTTGAGCAGGAATGGCAAATGGCGATTCAAGTCAATCATCGGTCAAGAAATCAAAACGTCCATCCGAGGTAACACCATCAACCATCCCATGTCGATCAGACAGGGCATGGGTATTCCTCCAGCATAAATCTCGAAACTTGTAACAAAAATTAAAATACTGAAGCTAGCTAAACTTAACTTTAGATTGGGAACTGCAGTCTACCTGCTCTCCATTTCAGTTCGTTCAGAGCTTAACGGTGTAGACTTTGCCCCATCTAAGTTAGTGTAGAATTTTGTTGGTACAGTACTTTGATGGAATAGCCAAATGGCCAGAGCCTCGGGCCGAGGTACCGCTCTCCTCTCGCTGGACTGGATTTCTTTTTGACTCCTCTCTATCAAACTGTTAAGAGTGTTTTAAAGAAGGACATGTCTTCTCCTTGTTCACGTCTTAACGTATTCCATTGGTTTATTATTTTTATTAATCATGAGAAAATTTAATTCTTATTGGTTCCTGGTATTGGCTAACACCCCTAAATCACTTTCCATTCCATATCTTGGTTCCCGTCATCCATCAAGTTTAGGTGGACAGGACACTTTCCTTATGAGGACCACAGGAATGTACAATACACTGACTAAATCCAGGGGGAACAACCTACCAAGAAATAGTAGAGTATTGCATACTGTTGACTATAGAAAATAGAATGCATCTCAGGTTAATAACCTATCCTGAAACTGTATTACTTTAATCTAAAGGAAAATTTAAAAGAATAGCAAAATAAATTAATCCAAATAATAAAATTCGAAGGCTTAATAAACACAAAAAATATACACTACTACACAAATATCATGAAATTCAGATTCAGCTGCAGTTTTATAAAATTGAATTACATACATTGAAGTACATATTTTTAATTTGATGGAATGCTAGGGAAATTTGCAAGTCTAGAGAGAGGCAAGAATCCGACATATTTACAGTACGTTAAAAAAAACATTGCGATTTAGATGTGTTGCGGTCGTTATTTTATAATTATTATAAAATAAAATATCGGCCTACTATGAGATCGAGCGAGGTGTGTTCGTCAGGAGCGGATTTAGCCACACCACCCGAACCTAAAAACAGAAAGAAAATAAATTATTGATTGCCCAAAACACCACAGCGGTTATTTCCGTTTTTCCCCCACCCCTTGTGTGCCGTAGTGTTTTCTTTCAATCGGCGCCATTTGACATCTCTGGATCTGCCCAGGCTTGCTCTCATAGTAACCACGTTATTCTCTAACATTTCTATTTTCATTACAGCATAATTCTCTATCGATAGGTATTCTATTAGTATAATCATAAATATCTAAATCTATCCATATAAAAGAAACATAAGAAATTACACAATGCAATAAACGAAGTCTAGTAAACTTCATTAAATATTATTATTCTGCCTGCAGTACATTGGCTGGTATGATGAACCTAGTGTAGGTGGCCTAGAAGCCACACTTGAGGCATTACTCAAATCTGATCCATCATTTGGTAAGTTCCTATGCAACAGAAAGTGATGCATTTTCCAAAGGAATTATGCGTTGACTATACAATTTTTATATATATTTGATTATTATTATTATTATTTTTATTTTAGTTAGCCATAATTTGAAAAATAATATCCAGCAATCTCATAGGCGCACGTTCTACTGGATGTTTGTGTCTTTCTACCCTATTTACATACCATACTTTAACTGTTATATTTGATAGTAAAACTATCTCTTGCTAAAACATATTTAAATGTGTGCATCTATCGGGCATACTTGCTTTCAGTCCGTTGCAATAAAGCTAAAGGGTCAAGAGAAGAACTCTCAAGTTGTGAAATGAAAATAACATAAGAGAAAATGAAATAATATGTTGCCGTTATATTCATTTATTATATCAAGTAATGGGACGAGTTATCAGCAATGGTCTTGAGTTACTTGGTACCGGCACTAATATAGATTTAAATCTGGATTTGAAGAAGAACATCGATGAAATGGTAGACTTGTCAATGAGTAACAGTATAAGTCAACGAGAGAAATACCATGTTTCTGCAATAAAATTTCTCTCTGATGGGTATGATACGCTTTTGGAAGCTTCTATGCTTTTTCTTCTGTCTCTTATACACATCTAGATGTGTATAAGAGACAGATATATATATATGTATATATTATATATACATGAATGATATTTTTTTTAATAATTTTTCAGAAAAACATTTTTTTCTCTATCAATATAATATTCAACAAATAATATTCAATTTCAACAGCAATAAATCAATTTATGTATTTGCAGGTACCAGAAAAAAGCGTGTGAAACCTGGGAACGAATTCTGGTGGAGAACCCAACAGATCTGCTTGCCTTAAAGTTTGCTCATGACAGCTATTTCTATTTGGGTGAATCTACTCAAATACGGGATTCCATTGCCCGTGTTATGCCATATTGGGATGATACTATGCCATTGTCCAGGTAAATTGCAACACACTGATTAATTTAATATATATATTTTTTAAACCATAGAGGAAAACCCGGCCTTCCAGCGTATCCTTAGGTCGGCCTAAATATATAAAATAATGTGATGCTTTATCATCGAGGTCTCATTGCGAGGCTCAGGGAGTGAAGATGTTTTTTATGTCGTGAGAAAAAAGAAAAAAATCCTGTACTTCCAAACCCTGGGATTGAAATAATACCTGGGATTAAAATTACATTAGTAATGTGCAGATCAAAGATCAAAAATGGCATTTTAGTTGCAGTTTAGCGACTATATTTTATTTGGAAAAACTTTAATATAGATTCTTAGCAATTTGAGACCAAAATCAAGTCTATGTTTAGTAGTTAAGGAGCGTAGAAATGTTAATTAACATAAGGTCAAAGGTCAGAATGCCATTTCCAGTCATTTTCTAAAGGAAAGTTTGCATTAGAGCGAATATAAACTTATATATTACAAACAATTTTAGACCAAAATTAAGTTTCTGTGATATGCGGTTGTCAAGATATGGACACTTCATTTCAAAAGAGCGGCCATTTTTAAATTCAAGATGGCGGACACCTGACTATTGGGCCTTATTATGTTTTTATAATTTAGTAACCCCATAATTTGCCAAGTGCATCACATTCAATTTTTGTTTTTCAAAATCTAGTAGCTATACCCAGAGGACTAATTATTATAGTAGCTATTGCTCTAATGGCTTACTAAAATAAAAATCCCAACATTGTTTATTCTATTACAGTTCATTGTTTGTTCAAATACAGCGCGACAGAAAAACAAATAGAACCACCTACAAATATTATAATCTCCATGCTGATTCACAATGAAAGCGATGAAACTAAGCGACAGAAAAATGTATCGCTCAGCACTGAACAGTTTTTCTATTTCCAAAAGCTGACATGCAGCAAAAAAAAAAAAAATCTTAACAACCGATCATCCTTCGCTGAGCATCCACGTAGAATGCAGTAAACTGCAAACAATGGATAGGTACGTGCGTGATCACCGCGTGCGCAGTATAAATCTATGGAAATTTGGTCACTGCTGCATTGTAATGCTCACTGAAATCACTCCCGGCGTTCCATATAAATGGGTCACATTTGAGACAGATTTTTAAAGCTGGGTGCCTCGTGCCACTGTCGTGCTCTGTCAAAAACGCTTGTCAAAGGTACTTCACTTTGCGATGATAAGCGTTACATAAACAACATTGAACGGACGCCATGCTGTGAATATTTACACAGACGAAACATAATAAATATCATTAGGGTATTGTATGATAATTTAATTGATTAATTAACTAATTCATTCATTCATTGCTAACGTTTTTTATGTTACTCCAAGCTACCTACATGGCATGTATGCATTTGGATTAGAGGAGACAAACCTGTATGCTCAAGCAGAAAAGGAAGCCAAATTAGTAAGAGCATTTCAGCGTGAATTTCCATTTTTAATAATTGTTTTCATTTAATGATGATTTTTAATATTTAAGTCACTTAAATTATTCTTAAAATAATAATAAAACAATTCCTTATAATGAACATTTTACAAAAAATAATATAGTGATAAAGATTAGCTTAATTTTTCGGCTACAATATTTTAAAACTCTTCAGGTTTTCCTAATTGCTATTTGGGAAATTTTCAATATAGATTACGGGGCGCCGTTTGAGACTTTCGTATTTTGTCTACAAAATACCATTTTGTTAAGAAAAAGTGCTATTTTGTCACGAGAAAATGCTATTTTGTCGTCAAAATAGTGTTTTTTAATAGAGGATTAGTTCTAGTTGTCACAACAAAATGCTATTTTGTCACAACAAAATGCTATTTTGTCGACAAAATAGTGTCGAGAAAATGCTATTTTGTCGTCAAAATAGTGTTTTTTAATAGAGGATTAGTTCTAGTTGTCACAACAAAATGCTATTTTGTCACAACAAAATGCTATTTTGTCGACAAAATAGTGTTTTTTAAGAGAAAATTAGTTTTGTCACAACAAAATGCTATTTTGTCGAGAAAAGACTTGTAGATAACAGAATTCATTTTGTCAACAGAAGCACCTTTTGTGTGAGACAAAACGAGGTAATAGAGTAGGCCTATGCAAATGAGGAACCTTTTCTTGGTTGGATAACATGCTAACAAAACATCGCATTTTGCATCTGATCAGTCACGTGATCCGTATGTACTCGCTTTGTAATTGTTTTGAATGGTAAAGTTCATACACTGTAAAGATGGCAGCTGGGCGACTGTTTTTGCTGAGTGTGTCTGTTGTAAGCGACACCATAATTGCTGTTTTTGTACTTTTTAACGTGCATTTTCTTTTACCAAATCTCTAACAAATGTTTCAATATTACATCCGATGCGTTAGGACATTGGACATCGAAATGCATGAAAGATTCGGTGGTAAAGCTTGGGCATAATTATTAAGACAAAATTTAATAATGACAATAATAATAACAATAATAACAATAGTAATAAATACAATTTGAAAACATCTACAAATTTATTAAGAGAAATGTTCATGATGGATTAGACCCATACAAACAAATTATTAGTTTATTACCCCCTCCCTCATCACTTTTAGGGAAATTCTGATTTTTTTTTTTCTTTCAATCAACATACATTTTTATTTCAAACGGTCGCATTTTACATCTTTCTATTATTATCACTTGAAAAGGTCAAGATGTGTATAAGACTGTCTCTTATACACATCTAGATGTGTATAAGAGACAGTATATATATATATATATAAAACCATTGGTTTTCCTGTGAACATCGGTAAAATGGGGGCGGGGTTAACAAAAAAAAATCCTCCCTCTCTCATCAGTTTTTATCCTTCGATATATTTGTTATGGGGCCTTATTGGCTTAATAGGCACCTGTGCTGCTATTTACACATACCGAAGTCTATAAATTAGCATGTTGCAGTCATACTCATAGCCAAAAGAAACGTCTAGCACGACATACAATATTTCTGAATGTTACACTAGAAAATGCAAACCCCATCATAAAAAATGAAGTGATTTGATAGTTTCAAAGGCAATATAAATGGCATTTTGTATTATCACTCATTTTATTTTATTTTATTTTTTAGTACTGAAAATGTTTGAAGATAAAATTATCAGTTTAGAAATTTCTATCAAAAACATAAATGAAAATGTTTACCTTTTATCACTGATCATCAAATTATTGTCTAAAATGTTTAATAAACAGAGATATTATAGTTACGGATACACGACAAAAGAAAGCACAAATCATTAGTTGTTAAATAAATTTAATAGAGTAACCATCCGTCTATAAATAAAAACAAATAAAAAGCCTAATGTTAAGGGAGTGTTTCAATATTTTGTTGGCTAGCAGATTGAAAAAGAAAGAATGTGATCACTTCGGAGGGTTGATTAAAAGTTTTGATTTTGTGGGAACAGAATAGATTTTGTCGCCACAATTTGGTATTTTGTGGACAAATTAGCGAATGTCCCAAATGACGCCCTGTAATAGATAGGCTGTACTTTTACGGCGAAGCGCAAAGGGAATAGTTTTAGTTTAAACATGCTGGTGCTCAAAATTAATAGTTTTATTTTTGTTAATGTTACTTACAATGTTTTTGTTTTTTTTGTTTTTTTTTGTTTTTGTTTTTTTTTTTTGGTTATTTTTTTTTTTTTTTTTTGTAATTTTATTGAACTGCCATCCATATATTAGGGTTTGCACCTAAATCCAAACGATCCTTGGGCAACGCACTCGATGGCGCACGTTTTAGAGATGAGCGGACGTGCTAAGGAAGGAATTCAGTTCATGAGTACAACTGAGAATGACTGGAATGTGAGTTTTTCCAAATCTATTTAGCTACACTTGCTGCTTCCTTCAAATACAAGGCTTCTGGATTCATTCCCTGTAAATCTCAAGTTTAGTAAATCATACGGGTTTTTTTCTTGCAAACTACAGGCAAATGCAAATTCAGCATTCTCTCTTTAAATAATTAGTGTATCATTCGAATCCTTGCATCAATCCGCACATTTCTTAGATTAAATTTTTTGGTTTTATGTGTAAAATTTACTGATGTTGCATTTGGAAGGTTTAGGACTCATTTCATTTAATCTGTACCACTCACTTAAACCATTAATTAGCCTAATAGTTGCATTCGTGGAATGGTAAGCTACTGACTGTTGAATGAGAATCACAAAGCGTCCATCGAGAATGTTTAAAGATTATGCGAGTGTTTATCTCCCAGCAGTTTAAATTAACTACTTCAACACGTTTCTGTAATTAACACTATTAGAGGTAGTGCTGTATACTTAATTTTTCAAATCAAATCAAAAATTTATTTTCCAAATAATAACAGAAACGAGTGTATAGGTTTTAGTTGTCATCGCTTTTAAATGATACTTTTATCTTCAAAAATTACCATCCCAATGCTTGAATTAGGCCTAATATTTCTGATATGGATGGAAATTCATTATGATCTATATCTTTGTAGATCTGTGGCATGATTGCTTGCCATAATTACTGGCACTGGGCGTTGTACTGTATAGAGATGGGTGACTACCAGAAAGCTCTTGATATATATGATAAACAGGTAATCGTTTGTATACATAATATTATAAAACAGAAGTATAATGATGAAAGTTAATAGTAATTTATTGAATATTTAATTTTTCTTTTAAAACAGTGGCCCGTTATAATAAAGGGGCTTCCACAAGTCCTATAAACATAAATAATGTACAGGCATACAAGTAAAAAAGGGGTAAATGCTCCAATAAGTGCCGCTCTCGAATAAGCGCCGAGGCGCTCATTGAGGGTACGGTATATTTATTTATTTGTTTATTCAACTGAACATACACTTTTGTTCCAGTGGCACACAACCTTTCGGTGCGTTCAATGAGAAAGAAAAAAAAACTAAACTAAAAGAGACTAAAAGTTATACAAAACAATTATACAATAACAGTATTCAGTACTGTATTGGTGTTGAAACGAAATCCACTAAATAAAAAACAAAATTACTGTAGTAATACTGTAGTAATACTATTTTTAAAGTTAACAAATTATTACGTTACTAAGATACAGATAAGCACAAAAAAAAATCAAAACACAACAACACAAAAGATTACTTATGAGGTAGAGGTATATATTACCCAGTGTGTAATAAAACACTTTGAGAAACACTGTTTTAAATACTTTGTATACAGTGTTGAAATGAATAAATAACAAGAAGAAGACACAAGCATTTCTTTATTAACATTTATTTACGATGACTAGGACCTATGATAGGTCTACCGATACGGAAAGGATGCGTGAGATAAGTAACATGGGAAAGGTCATGGAAAGCGCCACGCAAATACTTTTTTATAAGCGCTGCTTGCGAATAAGCGCCGCTCTCGAATAAGTGCCGCATGTAAGCCTCCAAAAATTTTATAAGCGCCGCGGCCCTTATTCGACCATTAAATTTAAGGTAAAATTAAATTAAATTTAAGGTAAAATAAGTCAAAATCGAAATGATAAAACAGTACCACGATGAAGATAGTAATGGTGCTGATGATGACGATTAAGATAGTGATGATGATTATGGCTGCGACACCGATGATGAATATGATGATGATAATGATAAATACAGTAGCGTAACTAGGTTGCAAGAGGCCTTGGTTCGAGAGTACCGTCATGACAGTCAGTGCCCTGCAATTGGCCATGCATTAGCAATTATATAGGCCTAATCTTGTATATAATCTGTATATAATTATATATATATTGTATATATATATACGACTATATATATATACATATACATATATACAATGTGAATGTGCAGCTGTACAAGTTGAGACAATAAAAAAACATATAATATAATACCTATATTTTGATATATATATATATATATATATATATATATATATATATATTT